TTTGTGGGGGGGGGGGGGGGGGGTTAGTTTCTGATTCAGTTTTGCCGCCTATACAAGTCCTATTTGAATAAACTTCTCTATAAGCGCTTATGGGGAGAAAAAATAAGAAGGTAAAATGTGTTGAACTTCTCCATAAGCTAAAGCATCTTATGCACCTTAGCTTTTGGAGAAGATAAATGAAAAGAGCTTCTGCAAAAGTTAAGTGCACAAGTTAATTTAGCTTAAAGTATAAACTCAATTTATTTTACCTTCTTATTTTCATGCTTATGGATAAGTTTATCCAAATAGGGCCAATGAATACAACATTTTTTGGCTTTAGTAATTTCAAGCAACAATTTCCTTTATAATATAGTGTTGATATATGCCTTTTGTTTGATTATTTCAGGGTTATAACCTCTTTTTCAAACTACAAATGTTTGTTATGTCTGATATGGAACTGTGGTCATTGACTTTTTTGGTTGTTATGTTTGTCTCATATTTATATTTATTTCTGTGGATTATTAAAGAAAAATTAAATTGACTTGAAAATTTGTAATTCCTGAGACAAACCTAGAATAGGAATAGACTATTCAAACTTTTTTTAATACTTGCCCTTCAGGTAAATCTTGAATCTAGCACACTGACGCCAACTCCCATTCCTTCAAATATTGATGGTTGTGAAACCATTGTTAATGGATATGGGTTGATGGACCATGAAAGAGATGCTGGATCTGATGCTCAATGGAATGCCGGAAGTATTTCAGAACAGCTACAACTATCTAAGGGAGATCATAATGTTATTCCTCTCTGTCAAAGGCTTATAGCTGCTTTGATCTCAGAGGAGGAGTGTAGTGGTGGAAGTGAACACTTCAAGTTAGATGCATATGATACTGAATTTGAACCTGATGGGGAATCTGAATTGAGTGGTTTGGATCACCACTCAGGAACAAATTTTCAGTTTGCTTGTCATTCTTCTTATAATGGCTATAGGGTTATGGACAAGCTGAGACATGATGAAACTGAAAGTGATGTAGTTGGTTTCCCTCCAACTGGATTGAATTCAAGCTTTGGTAACTCTGTAAACGGTTTTCTTCACGATAAAGCATTAATGTCTAGCTTCACCTGTTCAGAGTTACAATATGATAGCTTGGACATAAATGATAAGCTTCTCTTGGAGCTTAAAAGTATTGGAATTACCCCATCACCAGTGGTAAGTCTACTTGCCAAATCCAAAGGATTTAAACAATTTTGTTCATTTTTTCTGTTGATGCAACTAATAAATGTACTTTAAGATGCTTTGACCTTTGTTGTTGAATCTTTAATGTTACTATGATACTAATTTTAATATTTTTTTTTTCTGAAGCCTGATATGTTGCAAACAGATGATGAAGGAATATTAGAGGATATTACTAGGTTGGAGGAGCTTTACCAAGGACAGGTACTGATTGATGCTGAAGCCAAGTTTTACTTTATTAGTTGTCAAAAACATTTTTCCCCATAACTATTATTTGTTATGTGATATTTCACATATTAGATTTTATATATTGTGGTTTCCAATATATAAATATATAGATCAGTCATAGAGATGGAAACCTTCAATTTATAGATTTCATTCAACATTTAATGATTCAACATTTAATGCTCTTCATTTTTTATTTATTATGTAATTCACTTTAACTTCTGTTTTCTTGTATTTCATAGATATCCAAGAAGAAAAGCTTGCTAGATGGAATATTCAAATCTGCCTTAGTGGATAAAGAACTTCAAGAAAAGTAATTGCACTGGCCAAATTATTTGCTTATTTTAACATTTTTGACCTTCTTTCTCCTGAATGGAAATATAAACTTCTGTTTAACAGGGATTTTGAGCAACGTGCTTTAGATAAACTCGTTGTGATGGCTTATGAGAAATACATGGTAATCTTCTTAACATTCAATATTATTTGTATATGGAGAAATGCTAGCAATACATTCTATTATTGGTCGAAAGTTATTGAAAACTAGTATTTTAATTTGTGCAATAGACAAACATGTATATTATATATAATTAAAATTTATAATAAATTAATATATAAATAAATAATATTTTTTAATATATAAATTTTATTTAAAATTAGTATACGTAAATATTTTAAATATATAAATTATATTTTAGATTTATGATAAATAATTTGTATTGTAACAAAAATTTTATTTTTATTTATTGATAATTTATTTTAAAATATTAACATTTAATTAAAAAATAATTATGATAAATAAAAAAATTGAACTAGATAAGAAAATAAAAAAATTCTTACAATCCTTCTCGTTGAAGGAAAGGTCTTAAAAATACTCTGGTGCAAGATAGAGGTTTGTGTTTAATATGTAGGAGTTGATTACAAAATCATGAATAGAGTTGATTCCAATAATAAGTTCTAGCCAATACTAGAGTGTGTACAAAAGAATGTTTTTGAGAGTGTGTTGTTAGCATTTCTCTTTGTATATATAATATGCTTTCAGTTTTAGAATAAAATTTTTGCAAGCTATTTTAGTTATGCACATGTTGAAAAAGCTGGAGATCTTTATATTACCCCAATGGGTAAGGGATTGCGATAGCCTGGTCTAGACTCTCTAAGACTGTCTAGGTATGAGTTGTTTTTCCACCTAGCTTTTGTCAACATAGCCCTCAGATGATTTTAAGCAACTAAAAGGGGGGAATGTTTTAGAGAAACAATACATTTGTTGTTGTTGTTGTTGTTGTTATTATTATTATTATTATTTTGTATTTGTGATGTAATAAATGTTTTGCTTATCAATTAAGATTTTCAAATTTTAATTACCTAATGTCAGCTCTTAGGGCTGATATAAAATCCTATTTACTAGTAGAGTCAAATGTAATTAAAAGAGTTGTCCATGCACTGCTCCCAAGTCTCACAGTTATGGGGTTTAAGATGTATGTGTGATTACTTGCGAGAAAAGAGGCTATGCAAATATTGTGTTTTTACAGTTACAGCAAGGCTCACCCTCAAAATGCCCTGCATTTTTACTATTGCATAATTATGTCATATGGCTGAGTAAATTGACAAATGATTGATTGACAGGCTTGTTGGGGTCCCAGTCCCTCTGGTGGGAAAAATACAAGCAACAAAATGGCCAAGCAAGCTGCATTGGGATTTGTCAAACGGACGTTGGAGCGATGTCGTCAATATGAAGATACTGGCAAGAGCTGCTTCAATGATCCTTCATTCAAGGATATGTTCCTTTCTGAATCCTCAAAACTATATGCTTCTTCCCTTTCTCTGGAAGCAAGAACAGGTGTCTTCTTCGCTACTTTTTTGGAACAAATGCTTTGATCTACTCTGCTTCTTCTGTCTCAACTGTGTTCAACATCACCATTTTAGCTTACATTCTAATAAATTTGATTGTATATACCATATCTGTCTAATATGCTATATCAAGTCATCTTGATTATTTTTTTACTTTCTTCAGCTTCCATGGGTTCACAACAGAGTCCATCACAGTTTAGTCAGAATATGGATAATCATGATCTAAATTCATCAGATATGCTTCCTGCTTTAAATCATTCATCTGAACAAACTAGTGGGAAGGAAGATCTCTGGTCAAATAGGGTGAAGAAGAGGGAATTGTCCCTTGATGATGTTGGTGGTACACCAGGTATTTCTGGTGTTCCAGGCATCGGAAGTTCTGTATCAAACAGTGCAAAAGGAAAGAGAAGTGAGAGAGACAGGGATGGAAAGGGGCACAGCAGGGAGGTTCTATCCAGAAATGGAACTACTAAAGTTGGTAGACCAACATCATCCAGTGCTAAGGGAGATAGAAAATCCAAAACAAAGCCTAAGCAGAAAGCAACTCAGCATTCTGTTTCTGTGAATGGTCTCCTTGGGAAGTTATCAGAGCAACCAAAACCAGCATTACCTTCTGTTCAAAAGCCAAATGAAATGCCTACAAATAGCAATGCAAAGGAGAAGGACGAGTTTGGCTTGGGTGGATTGGACGAGCCTATTGATTTGTCCAACCTGCAGTTACCTGGAATGGATGTACTCGGTGTTGGTGATGATCAAGGTGGTGATCTTGGTTCCTGGTTGAATATTGATGACGATGGATTACAAGATCACGATGACTTTATGGGTGGCCTTGAAATTCCAATGGATGATCTTGCGGACTTGAATATGATGGTTTGAAGCTGCTTTTTTTGTATAGTCCTGTTCAGTATACCAATAACAAAGGAAACAAAGTATGTTGAAGAAATGACTAGTTATATAGGATGGTCTAATGGCAAATCCCGTCCACAATTAGGTTATATAGATTCTTTGGTAGACTCTTCCCTCCAAGTTGTTTTTGAGTGACCTTTCCAGGTGTTTCGGATTTTGCTCGTGTTAAAGTTCATGACTTCCACTGTAAAGATCTTTTTGTTCAAGGTACAAGTTAGCATTCCTAGTAATTATATCTTAGCAAACACTTCCTGGTTGTAGCTCTTACAAATCAGAGAACAAGACCCTTTGTACATACATTTAATATTTCTAATAAAATCAGCTATTCATTTGCTGAAATTACACTCTGTTGGTCTTTCCTCCTTCTCGGGTTTTCTTTTGGCAATTTGAGTTTTGCAGATACACACCTCAATGTGATGTACAGCGAGTGTTTTGCTGCAGTAGCTTCATCCAGGTATTGTCCACATTGTTGTATGAGGTTTTATAGGAAAAAACTGAGACTGTTGTGAATGTGATCAACTGATTATTGTCTGCATTGCGTCAGATAATCCAGTTGCTGTCCTGCTTATGCTACTTTGGGTATATGAAGCAGATTCTGGTTCTGGGTATATAAGCTCTCTCTCTCTCTCTCTCTCTCTCTCTCTCTCTCTACTACTAATTACGGTTTGGAAGTGAATCTGGATTTCACATTTTGCCTGATATTGTAATAACTATATACATAAAAGGTTTTGCAAAGGAGCTGAGAAATGTTAATATTCATTCTAGTTGATTGTGTAGTGATATTTATAGTTGGATGAATTCACAATCTTTGATGATTGAAGGGAGATCTTGTCGAGTAATTTCAAATATTCAGGACTGCCGGCCTTCCTAACTAGCGTTTTTCTATTTAAATATTGATGTGTATGTTGTTGAATAGGCTATTCAATTATATCGTAGTAAAATTGCGTTGGGACATCAAACGTGCAAATAATTTGGTTACTTTCCATAGATTAGTAGCATGTGGCTCACATGGATGCCTCAATGTAATTGCATATTATATGTTATGCAATATGTTGCTGAAGGCAGGATTTACCTTTATATCGGGACTTGATGTAAATTTAGAATTCCTTTGATTTGTATGCACAGTTTTAACCCTATAAGTCAACATAAAAATAAAATAAAATTGATCGATAATGGGATTTAATACAATAGTTGTGTTGTGCGTGTTGAAGTAAGTTGGTTTCTCTCGAACTTTAAGATAGCCGTTTGGTCTATCCTCTGGCCTCTGGGGATATTGGATTTGTTAGGGTTTGTCTATTTATCTGTTCGTTGGTTTCTGTTTTATTTTGATCAAAACTAATAAATGTTCACTCCTGCCTTTGCATTCCCTTAATGTATGTGATAAATTGGTTTATAAATTAGATAACATTCTTATTTAATGTTCATAATAATAAAATATTTATATTTACTGAATACTGATAATTTAATTAATTATTGTATCCAAAATTATTAATTTATAATTGTATAATACAATTATTGAATGATAATAAAATGGTTAAAATAGTGTAATGTTATTTTACATTTGAAGAAACATTTGATTTTAATTTTAAAATAATATTTTTAAAAAAACATTAGAACAGGCACGATCAAATTTTATAAAATTTAACTGCATAGAAAATAGAAATGTATGAAAAAAAAGTTGAAAGTGTGAAACAACCTAATAAAAAAGTGAAACAATGAAAAGGTTTTTATAGTAATTGACACGTGTCCAGTTATAATGAATGTTTTAATATATGGTAAATTGATATTTGAAAACTTGTATACTTTAAGCATGAGATACTTGAAAAATCCAATATTATGGGAACTTAAAACGTTTCACATATATCAATGAGTAAATTTAACGTTTAACAGGGAAATCTCTCTCAGAAAAAAAAAGTTATTAGGGAAATCAGAATCATCATTGTCAGATGCCTTTGATAAAGATTTGTAACAGTTTCTTAAACAATTTTACCACCGATCGTGGAAATTGGAAAACACCTCGCAACATCGCTTCAGCGAATCAACATTTACCAACGAATAGTTAATTTTGGTGTTATAGATGTGACCTATGGCTTTTCTCAATAAGATTTTTATTCAAGATTGATGTATAAAAAAATCTCTAAAAGAGTTTTTTTTAATCAATAAAAGTAATTATAATGAAAATAGGTATCAAATTCAAGTTCTTGAGTATCTATTCGAACTCTTATCACCAGCTTAACTTTAGTAATTCAAGGAATAGTTTTATTATATTGTTGATGTTCTTAATTTGAATAAAGTTATTTTTTATTTTTAAATTTGGTAAAATCACTCGAGTCTTGCATGTTGACAGGTCAAAGTGAACATTTTAATTTGTCATCCTGTCTAACTAGCTGTCTAACTTGCTATCAGGTCAAATGGTAAGTCGAATCGAATTGACTCGTCAGTTTAATTAAATATATTATTTTATTTATTTTATAACTTATTGTGTATGTTATTTTGTATTGTAATATGTTATTATTGAAGAACTATTAGTATTTATGTTATAGTTCTTAAGAATTATTATAAATTTATGTTATTGAGAGACTATTAGTACTAATTTTGATTGAAAAAGAAAGATTTTTAATAATTTATAATTTATTATTCTTGTGATGTAAGACAAATTTATGTCATGGATCTTTTGATTGAATTTATAATTATAAAAAATAAAATAAAAATTTTAATTAATGGTAAAAAAAAATTCATTTTGGTAGGTTGACCTGTCTTTAAGCAGGTCATGACAAGATTTTCAGTTCATTTTAATCAAGTAAATCAATTTGTCCCATCCTATTTTTACCAAGTAAGTTGCGAGACAAACCAAAACAAATCAAATTAACCTTTTTATCACTCTTACTAATTTTTTAATTACAAATATGTTAATCTATTTAATTTATCAAAATAAACTTTATGCCATTACTGTTTACTTCATGTTTAAAAGTCATTATAAAAAAAGATTTAATTTATTCTAAATTTATTATATTCAAAAACACTTTCAACTTAAATAAGGACAATTTATTTTAATGATTTTACATTATTATCTTTATAGTAATTTATAAATTATTAGTATAAATTTATATAAATCTTAATTATATTTTTAGTCTTCATAAAATGAATAATTTTTTGTTTTAGTTCTAGTAAAAAAAATTGTTTTTTATCTTCTAAAATTTAAAATTAGTGCTTTTGGTAAAACAAATACATTTAGGCTTTGATCTTGTAAATATTTTGTTTAATTTTTCTTTTTAAAATTTGAAATCACTTATTTTGGTTTTCAATATTCTTTTTAAGATAGATAAATAATATTTACTTAAGAAAAATTGCACTCACTTTGTTTATATTTGTTTAAATGACATAGTTCCTCTCCAACTTTTAAAAACCACTCATTTCCCTTATAATAATGTCATTAGTTAAAGTGAAAGAAAGAAAGAAAAAGTCAATTCATATTTTGTCAAAATTATAGACAAAGTTTAGTCTTTTTTATAAAAATTTTCATTATTCTATCAATTTTGAAAATAATAATTTCTTAGTACATTCTTTGAAACTGTTTCTTGAAGTTGGTATATTTTTTAAATCACAACACATATGATATTTTAGTTATAATTTGAGAGTTAAATTACATAAGAGATCAAGTTTCATTCAATTGTTGATATTTGCATTAATGATTTATTATTTTTTAATAATACACAAATGATATTATCTTATATAAGGCGCTACTTATGTCATTTAAATAAATAAATAAGAAGAATTAGTATTCACTCAAAAACTAGAGGGACAATATGTGTCATTTAAAAGACCTCAAGGGAGGTCAATGCAATTTTCTTTTTATTTTATATATGTTAAATGTTTTTTAGATACTGATGTGGTATTATAGAAATTAGTAAGTGTCGCTTAAGATGATTACTTAGCCTTTTTTAAATATATAAACAGTTAATGAAGGCCAAATAATAGTAGGGACTAAAAAAAATTGATTTTCAATTTTTAAATAATAAAAAATAATTTTTTAAAAAAATAAAAAACAAAATTCACTTATTTTATAAAGATTAAAAAATATTTAAATTTTAAGTAATTAAATAAATTAAATTACTTAGAGTTAATATAATTTATAAAAAAAACCCATAAATACTTAAAATATAAATAGATTTCAGATTACATTATACTATTACATGAATTATTTTTTTTTTACATAAAAATATGCCCAGGAAAGTTAAAATTTCAATAAACATTACATAGGACTTTATTTTTTGTTTAAAGATTAGGGCCGGGACCCCTAACTTTTTTTAATTTAATTTTTTTAAATACATATGATATCTCAATATTAAGATACTTATTTTTATTGGAGGGACTATTTGGGATAAAATTATTTAAGTGCTATTTTTTTAACAAAATATTCTTTCCTTTTACAATTAATATTTACTATAAAGATAATAAGTGACACTTTTTTTTAAAGAACACTTCTTTTCGTAAAGAAAATTAATTTTATGTACTCTTTCAAATTTTCAAAATAATTATAAGTCAAAAAGAATATAAAATCTTATTTAAATCAAAAGCTATTTGAATAAAGGTAATTGTCATGACCGCAAATAAAACATAAATTAACTTTTAAAAATAATTTTAGATGATTTTGCATTAGATAAAGCCTTTAGAAAAAATTGTGTCTCCCCCACTCCCCCCAATTTTTTAAACTAAATATATTCTAGTGTCATTTAAAATGTGTTTTTTTGTTTTTGTTTTAAAGAATATAAATGATTTTCTTAGTTTTTTTAATGTTGCTTCGATTATAAATTAATGGTTTAGGAATTAAAAATGAGAAGGGATGTACTCACTTCAAGAGTAAGGTTATTCTGACTTACTCTATTCAATAACTCATATTCTACATCAAATTTCAACGATCAAAGTGTTGAATTTGTAACATTGTAAGCTTTAGAGTTAGTGTTCTTATCTGTTTAAGTTTTGTTGTGATGTTTTGTGTTGAATGACCTATTAAATTCAAGGATTTCTAGTGAGTCAAGGTTGTTTTAAGAGTTTCTTTGGGCAGAGATCCATTTTGATTCTAAAGGGTAAGGTTTATAAGACGTTTATTCAAAATAGAGCCTCATAGCTTTAAGTTTTTATAATTTTAGAGAGAGAAAATTTTAGAAAGGTAGACTCTGGCCCGTGAGCTCTTTCTCTCTTAAATATGCTATTCTCTGAGATTTCTTTTTCTTCTTAGCCAATCTTAGGTTGTTTGTTGTGATTTAGATTGTGGAAATCTTGAATCAAATCCATGAAGCATGTAGAACCACATTTTTCTCCTCTTTTACCTCCTTTTC